TCGAATTTCTCCATTGGTGGGCTTTGTGTGCCTACTCATACGAGGGATGCATTGATTATCTTGTAAAGTACAAATTTCGCGGCGGCCAATCCAGTTTCGCCATACGATTCTTCCAGGAGGCCTTAGCCACGGGCAACCTCACTTACGCGTTCAACTCGCCAATCGCCACAGTGAGAAACACGACTGCCGGAGTTGAAGTCACCACGAGACAGGCCGAAAGATTCAAGGCGCGGAGGATGATCAGCGCCATCCCCCTGAACGTGTTAAACAACGTTACCTTTGATCCGCCCCTACCCCAGGGGAAACAGGCTGCTGCCAGCATTGGGCACGTAAATCAGTGCGTCAAGGTGCATGCTGAGGTGCGTGACCGAGACCTAAGGTCTTACACAGGCATCAGCTACCCGCACAATGGACTCTTCTATGCACTAGGGGACGGAGAGACTCCTTCCGGGAATACTCATATCGTGGCTTTTGGTGGTCAGCACAACCATTTCGAGCCGGATGAAGACATCGAGGCCACGAAGAAGGCTCTTCAGGGGCTGACTCCCATGAACATCGAGAGAATTGTAAGCTAAGCGTCTCCCGCTCTTTCAAGCTCTGTCGGCTGATAGCCCTACAGGTATTCCACAACTGGTCCAAGGACGAATTTGCAAAAGGCGCCTGGTTGGTTATGAACTCTTCGTATTTGATTCAGCACTTGCGCTAATATTTATTCCAGGTTCTTCCCTGGGCCAGGTCTCTTGTCCAACCATCTGAATGACATGAGAGCTTGTCATGGCAAGGTGTTCTTTGCAAGTTCAGACTGGGCTTTGGGATGGCGTAGCTTCATTGACGGAGCTATTGAAGAGGGAACTCGCGCGGCTTTGACCGTAAGGAATGATCTTGGGCGGGGAGAGCATGTCCGTATGAGGTCAAAGCTGGCATAGAATAGAGAGTGGCAATTCTTTCGGTGTAGGAGAAGTCTTTTCAAGCAACTTGCAAACGTAAACCTAGAGAGACAACATAAACTGCGAGATTGAACCTGTCACCTGTTACATGACTAATACCGGCAAGTCTTTGCAAGCGATCTCTGTCCACCGTTTGATGCCTTGCATTGCCCAAATTGTCTCCAACGCTGTCAGCGCGGCGGGTATGCTGCCAAAACCGGTGAGGTCATAAATCTCTCTTAGTCTCGAAGAAAAGAAAACTCGGTGATCCGGCAAAATGCTCTCAGACGCAGCCACAAAGTAGGTCCAGACGAGTGCATGGGCGCCAGGAGTGTGTGCTTCGAGAGGGAGAACTCGCTGGCGAAGCCGCTCCACGTGCGACGTAAAATCTGGCGTCGCTAGTGAGGATGCAGTCCGCTGCTGATAAAGCATGCAGGCGTCGCAAATGGCTGCTCGCATGATCTGTAAGTTGGCCAAGTGCTCGGACGCCGAAGGAAGAGTGGGATACGTCATGAAGTCCATATAATAATCCGGTTTTCGTTGAAGGACAAGGGCTCCTTTCTCCTCGCTTGATAGTGGGAAGCCAAACAGCTCGAACCTTAAATCGAGATGGTCAGCACCATTCAGCGACCAGAGGTGAACACTTGCCTACATTTTGACTTGCTGACAAAAGAAATTTCGCAAAGCAGAGGGCAAAGCGTCCACTGCTTCGGGAGATTGTCGTAAGCATGTGAGCGCTTCAAGAAGGTGAAGGTAATTGTCAGCTCCAGTGATGGTCTCTCCGACCAGCAGCACCATAATTGTTGCCCAAGTGTAAGGGGTGAAGATCCGCTCCGGAGGAAGATGCAATGAGTCTCTCTGCAGCCTCTCGAGAATAGCACGATGTCCTGCAATAGCTGGTTGTCGTAGATGCGGAGCTTTCCGGGTAAGGTGAAATGCTGCAACTACCGAGATCGCTCTGGCGAGGACGTCGTCCTGCGTAGCCAGTGGAAGGATAATATCACGGTATCCATTGCCTGCGATATCGAGAACTACCATCATCGGCGCGATGTGTGAACAGACTAGTATCAATTAGACGAAAAGTATCAAGGCAAGATAAAGGGATAACCTGCAATGATCAAATAGCATCCTTGCTTGCGGAGAGATATTATTTGCATCTAATCCGGCCCGTAATGGCATCACTCGTGCGGTATTTTCTGGTTCGATTTGTCTGGAAGCTATACCGCAAGGAAGGTCTATAGTAGATGTGTCGCAAGTCTTGTCATCAGTAAGTCGCTCGCGAGGCATCGCCTGGATAGTCGATGAAGAGGTAGGTGTGGTTCGTCGCCTGGAACTGAGTCGTGAATGATGTGATGTCGCTTCTTGTGACTGCGGAGGGTTCATGTGGCTGCTAAAGCGACACCGTAGGCCTTGCCCGGAGCATTGAATTCCCTTCTTTCGACATTTGAGACATTCTGGTTCGGTTTTATCGCATCGGAGCCGCCTTTTACAGCACTCGTAGCATCCTAAGAAGTCATATCAGTCGTGTCACACGGGGCTCATCGATATCAGCGGCACAGGGTCGCCCCATAGCGTTGGTAATATACAACCTACCATCGTTCTTTCGTGCAAGCGACCTTGGCATGGTTGCTATGATGAGTAAAGGTTGCAGGAAACTGAGTTAGGATAAATGGGGCTTCTGCTCTTATTATTAACGCCGTGTCCCGCGCTTACGTAAAAAAAGACTTAACAGCACCAGACGGCCTTTAAGTGTTGAAGGGGTCACGCTAGGTCATTAATTATCTTTCATAATTCAGTACTTACCTTAGCTACATTAATCCTACTAGAAGGCTATCTTCGGCTTCGATCAATGTACTGAAATTACAGGAAAGGAGTCATATATAACAAGAGACCTAAAGTCTGAATTTTCAACTAAATCAACGTATATGATAAGCTGGTAAGCTAGGAGGCTAAGAGTGGAAATAAAAGTAAATCCTACCTTAAAAGTTTTGTGCGGCCCAAATAGTTTACCCAGGGCGTCATAAAATAAAGATCTACATATATCAGACTTTCATTACTGGTTTTGTTTCCCGCGTATGGTTTTCGACTGAAAACGACGCCCTAGATAGCTAAGGTAACATAGTATCTACGTCTATAGGATAAACATTAGCCATAGCTCATTAACGTGCGGTCAAATGACATTGGCAATTCTTGAATAAGACTCCTCTCCCTCTCGTGACCTCAATATCCTCTTTATACTATACAAGACATATTGTGTCACGACTTATAGGACAAGGGACAGTAGACTTGTAACAAGCGAGTATGGCGAGACTTATTAAGAAGCGTTTTGGCAAATGAATACTGAGCGCCGGTGAGATACCAGGCAGCTTCAAAGCTAATCAAAGATCTAGAGAAATATTGAAGCCTTACTGCGCCGAGTCGGCCAGGCCTGAGCAAGGCAAACTGATTGCCAAAAACATAGGCAAGACGTCTAAAAACGCGTTCAAACTATCACATCATTCCACCCTCAGCCCACCCCTCTTTTCCCATTATCGCTCTCGTCCACACCTCCAACTTCATCGCAAGCGGTCCATCCTTTGCCGCACTACTCTATCACCAAGACTCCCCGAACTGCCAAAATATATCAATATAGCTACCGCTCTACTCTGCCTTCATATCCGAACCCGCAGCACAGAACAAAGTATTCCACGATCCTTCATCCGTAGGTAAAATCAGTCCGAACCAGCGCATAACGGAAAGGAAGCTCATCACGGGCGACCCCACCGATCCGGAAAGGTTCGTGTCGACTACGCCGGGGTGAACGGACGACACCCATATCTCGCCGCCCCCATTCTGCGCGCGCTGTGAGTCGGGGCCATATTCTTGGTGCAGCGCCATGGTATGTAGAATATTAGCCAACTTGCTCTGCCCGTATCGAGACCATGGGCCGCCGCTTTCTTTGAGCGACGGGTCGTCAAAGTTAATGCCGCCCTGGGGCGTCCCCAAGTGGCCCGACGAAGTGATGTTGACGATACGAATACTACTAGGAGGAAGTTTCTTAGCGGTCCGTAGCATAAGAGGAAGCAGGTGGTCTATCAAGATCTAGTACGCTAGGTAATTAGTCTACTATTATGCCTCGTACCCGTCATTGGTTAATTCGAACGGAGTTGCCATAATGCCTGCGTTGTTGACCAAACCATGCAGAGCTGTTTAGCGGCGGTAATGACGCTAGCAAGGTCCATGAGATCCATCTATAAGAGGTCGATGTTAGCCGAGGTATATATCTTTTTGATATTAGTAATCGCAGTTATTGCTTTGTCTGGGGAGCGGGCACATATGTAAACGTGAGCACCGTGTTCTGCCAGACGTGCGACTGTCTGGTAGCCTCTGTGTTTTGGTAAGTTAGCCAGTTTACTCCTTGGAAAGAGGAACAGGGGAAAGAAGAAAGGTGTGGGAAGACTGGCATGCCAGAATTCCCGCCCGTAACTAAAAATGTTTGACCAGTGAGGTCGGGGAGACTGTCGGGGTGGAATCTCATCTTCTGTAATAGTGCCTGGAGAAAGTCTGACGTCGCTGAACCTGTGGATCGATAGTATAACAGCTTAAAATCGTTATTCTTATCTGATGATGAGTGTTGTGATGATGAGAAGGTTGTTATTTTGCCGAACACGATATGCCGTGGCCTCTTGATACCAGTCTTGTTAACCACGGGTACGAGCAATTCTACCTTGCCATTGACCTGAGTATCCATAAGTTAACATAAGTCGCAGACCCCCTTGAGCCAACAAGATTCAATCTTCCACCGGACTTTGCGAAGGAAGGATTCCTCAATGGTCTGGGTGAGCCAGCTGCATGAGACTAGTCCTAGCTTGAAATGTGAGCAGGTTGCATGAAGCTTGACCTACTCAGGCTAGGCGTCACAGCGACGACCACTGGGATCATCCCATTCCATTAATCGCCCTTCATCTGCACCGCCCCGGTGAGACAGGTAACACTCTTATCTCTGGTGCAGTATGTCAGACTGTGAGCAGGCTGCATTACCGTCAGACTAACGATAACCTGCATCACACATCAGCAGCCTTTCTCGACGTCAAGATGTCGGACCCATCTAGCGTCATTGCGATCAGTATCCAGCCTGCGGCTCCAGAGACTTGGGTCGAGTTTGGCATCATGCCACAATTGGCAGAGGTACGTCTAAACGATGGGTGATGGCAGACCTTAAAGACGACATGGCTTGGGTTGCTGATTTCCTCAAGGCGATGAGTCGAGAGGACGAATGGACTGGAACCAAAGATGCCGCAGCACGTAGGAAAGCACAGACTAGGCTCAATACCCGAGCATACCGTATATATTAAACTACTCCTCTGTTTAATCCAGATCAGAACTTAGGAAGACAATGTCTCGTTATCGAAAGTTCATAGAAAACATCTTATCAACTACCTACATAGGAAAGCGAAAAGCCCTCATTAAGAAGACTGATGAACTCGGTACCTCTCCCGAGACAAGGGTTGGATCAGAAGATCTTATGCAATGCTGGGATGATGAGCAACAAGCCGTGTCCGCCGTACCAGCTTCCCGTATGATGCAGCTACACCGCACAAGACGACCTTTACTCCCGATTCTATTCCCACTGAGCTCAGACCACCTCATCACCTTCCTTCAATTCAACGCTCTCCGTACCTTAGCCGTCAACCGCACGCTTATCTCAGGTATCCCCATAACACTACTCGATTATAATAAAGAGATTATCCATATTATACCCCCTATTACTAATACTAGCCTCCTTCTACTAGCGTTCCTGCCCACCGTCCTTCAACAGACGGTGCCGCATGGCAACTAGATCGATCTCTTCCCCTGTCCTAAGGGACGTAACTAGCTCATTTTAGCTACGGGCACTTTTAACAAGGACGAGCTATAGGCCGACTACATCGGGGGGTTATATAAGGGATTCCTTAATAATAAGATTTAGCGGCGCAGTATTATTACGTAGTTACCGCCGTGGAGCATTGCGGGTTAGGAAATAACGGAAGGGTTTCTGGATAAATAGAGATGGCTATTCGGAGGTTTGCCCAGGGCGTTGGAGGCAACGAATCGATGGCGGATTGAGCGAGGCGAGGAGCCACTTACTTGAGAAAACCAAGCGCCGTTTACAGAAAAACTACGCATTCTTCTAGACAAAAAGCCATGGCTAGGTAAACCTTGAGAACTTTTAGTCCCATTCAGCGAAGCCTTCCTATAGCTAGCCCTCCTAAAGGGAAGGTGGCTAGATAGGGGAGGGGCGTAGCTAAAGTAAGTAGGTTAACCTAATACTACAGTAAAGCGCCATTAAGATTGCAATACCTAAGGAACAAAGGACTATAGCAATAGCGAGCCTAGATGCGGTAATTGATTTATTTTCATTACTAGAGACAAGGCGTGGTGTAATATGGGCTGAAGAAAGAAGGATTAAGTAAATGTGAAGCCGAAAGGACGTAGAAGCGGTAGGGCAAGGAGAAGGACAGCCCAGCCTAGCAGTCTCACAAGCCAACACATATGGGCTGATGTAGAGGTTCCTGCGATTCATGACAGAGAATCTAAGCCCAGGCGTCTATTATCGTGATAGAAATGTATCCATGGAGCAGAAACTGGTCCTCCATAGTCAGAAATATTAAGATATCATTTCAAAACAGGGGACTGAGCCAGGAGCACAGCACCAGAAAATAGATACTGCTGCTCTCTTCCGGACTTTGCTCGTTGAGATACAAAGTAAGCTGCTGAAATCTCCCCAGGATCTCCAATACCTATAGAGCAAATTCAACAACAATGATAAATGTTAACAGTACTCTAAATGTTGAGCTCATGTGCACTCCGCTCTGTTGATTGAAAGGAAGTCCACAATGAGAAGACCGAGACCAAGTGGCCATGAAGACAGCAGCAACAAGGTCAGCGGCCCACATCGGGACAAGACCCCGCGCGGGTGACTGGCTCCTGGACTAGGGGTGGCGGACTACGCGAAGGCTGGCGACGGCCACCAACCCAGCCGCAGTCGTGACCGACAGCCAGAAACGCCATCAACAATCGGTTACGCTGGATGTAGATGCACATATAACAAAACTACTAGAAGTCGTTTTAGTTTAGCATAGTCGACGTTTCGAACCAGTCGGGCACTTTATATCAGAGTTCAAAGCTATTTTCGACGTCGTCTTAACCAAACCTTCCGGTTACCACTCTTATACGATAGTTTCCGAGAAATATCATCGAGCGACTACGTGGGAGAATGGAACGATCAATAGGATATCATCAACTCAAAGGATATGTATGAGACATTGATCGGACTGGGTTTAGCTACCGTAATCAGGTATCTTAAAGAGCAGGAAAAGGATTTGGGGATAGTTCTTCAAGATATTCGCGTCAGTCTCTTAGGGTTACCTAGAACATGGTGTCAGTCGGTGACTCTGCTATCAAGACAGTTTTCTCAGTATTGTTCGCGATGGTGAAGGCTTTGCAAGACGACATTATGCGTTATGTTATGACAGATTAAGTGGAGAGGGGGGTAAAGACTCAGTCGAGTTGACAACAGCCACTCGATGGCAAGGCATGTGACGCGTCATAAGAGGATATGAGGCTGATGAAAGCATTTCAATGCCATCTGACTACAGCTATAGACTAGAATCACTGGTTTTTCAACATATCCATGAGCATCATATCCTTCATTATTGGCTCTTGGGTAATCATGTCGACGTATCATGTCTTTTCGACTGTAACGTCATGAAGTCTCAGTAAAGAGCCAGGAGACAAGCTCCAAGCACAGCCGGAAACAACAACATACGAACGTCAGTGCCAAAATGCCCAGCCAGTGAATCCGACTCCGTCGGCGACGGCGAGCCGCCCGTTCCACCGGGAGTGCCTCCAGACCCAGTGCTAGTAGTGGGTTCAGGCATGGAAGCGCCCCCACTGCCCTCAATCCAATTAGTCACGGGCGCTTTGGCGTCGCCGATGAGCAGACCCGAAATCGCACCCAGCACGCTCGTTCCTTCACCGACGCCAGTGATGCCCCCCGTTCTGTTATCTACAGTCTGCGGGTCGGTGAGCTCGGCGTCGCTCCAGTAGAAACCACAGGTCGTCATGCCCTTGGAGTTATCCTGACACTGCTTTGCTGCAGCCTGAGCCGACGACCTCAAGACGGTGAGCACGTTTCCTGAGAGGAAAGGGGCCACCTGGGTGGCGACAGAGAGCCATCGATGGACATAGCCCTTCATGAACATGGCGTCGGTCGGACAGCTGCCCTTAGTACCTTCGCAGGCGGCTTCATAGGCGATGCCCTTAGGGAAGAATGTCTTGATGCTGGCCTCGGCAAGCTTTTTGGCGCGGTCATGCCAAACATCGGAGCCATTCGTCTATAGAAAGAGGTTAGCCTGAGTTCGAATGATTCCAGAGACAAGGAACTCCTTGCAGGACAAACTTACGAAGTTGTACATGAACGCGGCACTCTCTGTAAGAATAGCCGCGTTCTGAGACCACTGGTACTTCGCAGGGCTGGTACAGTTGTCGTCCACGTTGGCTCCGTCGTATACCTCCCAAGTTGTGGTGTTAATGAAGCCAACGCTTTCGAGCCAGTCCCACGCCTTCACAGCGTGTTCCGCATAGCTCGTGTTGCCAGTATACCTCGCGAGACGGGCGCCCATGTTGAGGAAACACGCGTTTGACATGGCTACAATGGCGCATTAGTATCATCTATCCTAAGCCAACATCGCCGACGGGAAGATCCTTACTATTCTTGTAGTTATACCCAGCATTCGACATGATAATCTGCCAACGCAACCCGCCCCCGCACGTCTCGTCGTATCGGTCCGGCGAAGCCTGATTCGCCCAAACGTTCTTGGCCACCTCGATCCATGAGGGCTTGCCATCCGCGCTCGGCAATTGGTACTCCGCAGCCTGTAGCGCAGCCGTGCCCCAGAAACACTGATCGTCATTCCCCATTGAGGCGGTCCAGTTAGGAGGCATATAGTTGGCATCGGGGCCTAGTTGGAAGGCTAAGGCCTTCACGATGCTGTCTTGGAAGGAGTCGTCGCCGGTCAGGTGCTGGTAGTCGACGTAGGTCTGGAAGAAGCTGGCGCCGTGATACCAGTAGTAGCCGCCCGAGCTCGGGGTGGGAGGCCCCGGGAGAATGCCGGGGATTTTGCCAGGCTGATCGCCCTCGTAGACGGTGAATAAGTCTTTGGCAAGCTTGTTGGAAGATGCGACAATCTCATCGCGAGAGCTGGTCTTGAATTCGGCGGCCGAGCCAGGGAGTCTGCCAAGGAGGAGAAGGGCACCCGCGAACGCGGACGCATAGGACGGAGTCATTCTGTGATTAATTGTGATTAAGCACAAAAGCTGGTCGCAAGAGATCCAACGACAACGAGAGTTGATTGCTAAGCGAGTGATTTGGCTCAACAGAAAAACGAATGTGAGGAAGGTCGTAGAAATAGACACCCTGATAGACACAAGCAGCGATGAGATAAGACAACCCCACGGCCAGGCGATTGACTTCCTCTAAATTCACAAAATGAAATAGGTGATGAAAACTTTTGAAGGAAAAACACAGCAGTAAAACACCACACACGGTCTCGCGACAAACACGCCATGCTTAGTGCTTACTGAGGTCAGACCCCGCGTTAACCCCCCGCTGTGCCGCATCAGTTACTCTCTTTAATCGAACCGTTGCATGCTTGGCGAAAATCCTACGTAGGCCCGGAAATTGTTATGTCGGGGGGCTAAATGCAGATCGAATTGGTATTTGAGGGGGATTTGCGGTCGCCAAACACCGAACGAGGTATGACAATATGTGGCGAGTCTACCTAAAGCTCAACATTGAACGCCGTACTCAACGAAGACTTGATATATTCGTATCGGTTTCTTTTTTACGATGCTTTCGACCCGTTAAAACTATTGACTGCCTTCTTGTTTGCCGCCTTTTTTAAAAATTGGAGAGCTCGTCTGTTCCGACTGACCCTGGTCGCTCATTAGCCCCTCGTGATTGGTTTCTTTTTTTGTCGACTGTGCCGCCTGGGAAACCTGTTCCGTTGTTTAGCCTTAGTAACATCCTAGTCAGGTGCGTCGTTTTCTGGGCATGAAGGGAAGGCTTTAAGCGCCTTTATCTACAGGGCTTTATTTCTCTTAGCCTTCTTCGCTAACTCCGCTTTCTTTTGTCGCTGGCGCTCGCCCATGATGGCATTCTCCTCGACAACTATTTAGTAACCTCGTTAACGGCTGATTTAGTAGCACTTCAGTACCTGAGAATGACCACCTGGAATTGCTTAGGCGTAAAGACGTCGTCTCGTATTTACTTACCGAATCTGTCGGCCAACCGATCGAAGGTTTCTTCTTACTACTATTATATAAGGTCGGTATCCTCCCCGAGCAGCGTTAATCCATAAGATAAAAGTTACTGCCGGTATACACATTTCTTATAGATATAGCTAGGCCAAACTCGCGCCTCGTAGAGTCTATAAGCTACATTCGACGTTATTAAAACAACACATCCTTTTTATGATGTAACTACGTCAAGAGGCTAGATGAAATGCATCGGGACCAGCTAGATTCTTTCTCACTGCTATCGTCGCCTACTCTATCGTTATTATTTAAGTTTAGATCTGTTCTAATCTCTATCCGCTATTATATCTCTACGGCATCGAGAACTCTAGAAGATACACTTTCGCGGTAGCGGTATTAATATATCTTTTAAATCGCTTTTTCTATTAATTAAGTACTAAAGGGTTAGGCTTAAAAGGAAATTTCGGAATTTATAAATCTTAAATACCTACTACTTTAGCTAGCTTTTTACTTACTATTAGCGAGTTAAAGAATAATTTAAAA